GTTTCACACTAATATTTATTAATATGATAAAAGAGATTAAAAAATTTAGAATAATGTAAAATGGTTGATTTCATATTTACACTTTATTTAAAATAATTCCACAAATGCTAAATTATGCTATCAATTCTCAAATTCCAGTTTTTTTCCTTTCAACACAATATTTAATTGCTGCCTTTATTTTTAATTCTAGAATTTATACATCTTACTACAATGGGCTAAAAAATCCATGAAACAGTTGTATTTCGCATACCAATAGACACACATTGAAATTACAAATCCAAAAACCTATACTAAAAAATTCTGCAAATAATTACTCTTTTGGATAGAACATGTTAAACTACATAAAAATGATGTTTTGAAAAAGTCAATCCTCAAACAACAAATAACTTGTATGGGAAAAAAATAGGGAAAGACCAAAGGCAAGTTAATATTAAATTGCACTAAGCTGGGGCTGCTTGATTTTGCACTTTAGTTTTTATACTGCTATACTGAGTGATCTTGAGAAGTTACTTAATCTTTTTTGGACTATAGATTTCCTAATATAGAGGAGGAAGTAAACAGTTGCTGATAAAGAAAAAAAGGATTGTAGCCTAAGTATGGATTACAATTCAATGTCAAGCAAACAAAATTCCTTCACAACTGGACCGATGGGTACTATCATGATAAAAGGAGAAAAGATTGAAGTTGTCAAGAATTTCGTCTTGCCAGGATCCACAACCAATGCTCATGGAACCAGCAGCCAAGAGATCCAAGGACTCATTGCACTCAGTAAGTCAGAGGCACAACGCCACTGCAAAGTGTTGGAAAGCCAGAATGCTACTTTGAGGACTGAGGCACTACAGTAACCAAGCCAGGGTATTTCCAATCGCCTCAAATAAGCGTTGGGCATTGAACAATACAGACTGAAGACTGATCAATGTATCTGAATTATGGTGCTGCTGAAGAAGATTGAAAGTACCATGGACTGCCAAGAGAACAAAACAATGTACCTTCACCTAGTCCAGGCAGAATATTCCTTAAAGCCATGGATGGTGGGACTTCCTCTCCTGTATTTTTCGACATGTTATGAGGAGAGATCAGTACTTGGCGAAGGACATTGTGCTTGGCAAAGAAGAGGGGAAGAGAAAAAGAAATTCTCTCCAAAAAATTGATCGACTCAGGGCTTAAACAATGGGCTCAAACAAAAAAACCTGTGAGTATGGCTTAGGACAGGGGAGTGGTTCCTTTGAGGGTTGCCATGACTGGGAACTGACCTGGTGGCACCGAAGAATAACAACAGTACGTGTAATATGTGTGAGGGCTGAAAATATGTTGTAGATAGCCAAGGCATCATTTCTTTTATACAAAATCTATTAAAGCTGTATGCTTGAAAATAAAGGTTTCCTTAGAAAATTCTTTAAGCCCACTTTAACTAGATGAGTCATATTGTTAATATAGTTCAACGATTATTTTCTGAGTTACTTTTCATGCCTTTAACTACATGTTGTTCTTGTTAAATGCTTGTTAGGTGACATCTAGTCGGTTCCAACAGAACAAAATACTGACTAGGCCCGCACCATCTTCACAATTGTTCGGCTTGAGTTCACTGTTGCACCCACTGTGTCAATCAATCTCCTTGAGGGTCTTCCTCTTTTTCATCGACCCTCCACCTTACCAGGCATGTTGTTCACACAAACATGATTTCTCCTGACAAAGACCAAGGCAGTTCATGGTACTTTCAATATTATTCACCAAAGCCATAATTCAAATGCAATACTTAGTTATAATTTATTGTGTAAGATATTAATCGGTGTAAGTTAGTTGCCAAGGGACTATTTGAATTCCACTGCCATCTGAAGAATAATTTAAAAATAAAGTCACTTAAAAACTAAGTTATTTGCCAGGGATAAAGAACTTTAATAACATCTTAATTAATTAAGGAATAATTGTCAATAATTTTTACATTTTTGTGTTAAGTATTTTATGCTATTAAATAAATGTTTGATCATATATTTTGCCTACTTTTATTTAGCTTCTTCTAAAATGAGTATATAGTGTAGCCAAATTGTTAAGCTAAAAAAATAATTTAGTATGGAAGAGTAATATATTTCCATACTAAATTATTTTTTTATATATCAGGAACATTTGAAATTTTAATTGTATCTACTCTTTTCCTCATATTAACTTAAATTTTAACTTATGTGATTTAGAGTATCAGTTTTGTACTTGTAAACATATAATACTATAATACTACCAGATAAATACAATATAAAGTTTCATCCACAGTTTGAGTCCATACCTATGAATCAGAACTTACTTTAAGAACAAAATATTAAAATAGGTGATTCCTTTTAAATAGCAATAATAAAACTATTCTTTAAAGTTGTGACTTTGTGCCAAGGTCTTGTGATTCGATTTTAAGAAAAACAAAACTCTTGTTTGGCAAGTTATACTTTATTCAATTTAAAAGGTAGGAAATAGCTGGTTGATTTGTTTCATTACAGTGTGTTTTTAATGATTAAAATTTTAAATGAAAAGTAAGTATAATCCTAAATAGATGAAGAGACTGGTCTTAGTTCTGGCATCTCAGAGTCACTGTCTCTCCCTGCGTGCTCCTCTAACATACAGGGGCACTGTACTTCAGAGTCGTCGCTTGCTTCTTCCTGTCTTCCTGGAAAGTTCTCCCCATTGAGACCTTCATGACTCGGCCTCTCACTTCAAAAGTATCTTTCCTCACATAGCACGTGGATCACAGCACCCAAACTTGCATCTGCCTACAACCTTCCTTTTCTGCATTATTTTTCCTTGTACTTAAAACTATATTCTACATTTGCAATTAATTTTATTCTTCAAAGCTTGTCTGTAATGCTGGAATATTAGTTCCATGATTAATTTGTTCACTGCTGAAATTACATTGTCTAGCATGCCTAACTTATAGGTGGTGTTTAATGTTTATATTTTGAGAATAAATAAATAAAACTGGATTTAATTCAAATATTCAGAATGAACCAAATTATGATAAAATTAATACACACTACATATTAGGATATGTATGCATACAAATGTATTATACATAATTGATACTTTTAGAAATACAACATTATCAACATTTCTAATATATATTTGCTATCAAATTAGATTATTATTTTCTGGGGAGTATGAAGATTGACACTTCTTTTAAAATAAATTAATTTCAAGAAAATTATCTTTGTTAATTTAAATTCATTTACTAAATCTCTTTAAGTAGTAATAGGTATGTCTTGCTAAACAATCCACAAGATATGTTTTATATTCCCATAAAGTTGACAAAGAAGTAAGGTTATCTCACCACATTTCAAAAATTCTGTTGCTTTTAAGAATTAACTGATAAGACATGTTAAATATGATAACAAACATGAGCTTATGTATATTACCCCAATGAAGAAAAGTATCTGTTTAATAATATGAAAAATGAAACAAAAATATTGTACATTTATAAATACAAAATCTTGATGTCAAAAACTGTTTGAAGTTCAAATTTTTTAAGTTTCTCTAGTGTATGAAGTAATCATTTAAAAAATTTAAGAATCATGATATATTTTATACTCCAGAAAATCATTAATGAACAGTTTAAGTTGGTCACAAGATTCTTTATTTCGTAAACTATACATAAACATTAAAAAAGAAAATGTACTTTTAAGATTACATAAGGTCAACACTGAAGTCTCCGACACTGTGTGTAGGGTTATGAATGTGATTCATTTCTAAATTCGTGTTTAAACTGAATTGATAGGTCAGTCAGAAAAGGTGCATAGTCTTAATCATTAGTCTTAGTTCAAGAAAAGGCTTGAAGCCTTTTCAATATTTAAAAGCTGAACATGCAGCAACTGAAGGTGATTATAATGATGAATTTTTTGAGAGTAGGGGTTGGTTCAATCATTTCAAAGGGAGGATATATTTACATACAATTAAAGGGTAAGTACAAGTTTTCTATTGTAAGATACCCATAACAGGGAGCCATATTTGTAACATCAAATGGAAAGAATTCATCTATTTTTGTCTTTCAATGAATTTTATATTGAGAAACTGGTTGACCCACTTTGAAATAAAAGATACCAATGTATAACTCTTAGCAGGTTTTTTCTATTTTTATTATGAGCACAAATGAAGGGCCTGATATACTTCAAAATGATGGTGTGCCAAAGTGTCTGCACAATTAACATGCTAACTTAAATACAATGATTAAAGTAATTCTTAGTACCTTTAAATATTAAGTGCTAATTTACACAATAATCATAAACATGTCCACATGGAAATTGTGTAACTAAAAGAACAAGAAAAGAAAAACAGAGTCCATTTTCTTCATTCCAGCAGCAGTACCTACAGTGGCAGTGATTTGGTAATTAGGTGTATTTGTTCACACTTAATGTCCTATATCGGCATTTATGCTAAAACCTTCCTATATCTACTTGGCAAGGCACCATACAATACTTTCTCTGAGTTTTGACACAAGTTCAAAATGCCATCATTCTAACAATAATTTAAACTTTTATACTAAACTGGAAAAAAGTGGATTTTTAACAATAAACTGCGGGGCAACTGACAATTTTATTGATATGTGAAAATATGGTTAAATTATGTCTTCCTTCCTCCTTTGAATTCTGCACTCTAAGTAGCTGGCTAGAGAGATGAAGAAATCGGAAAAGGTAAAGAAATTGTGTTGTAAATGTAATAAAATACACATTTGAAAGGACAGATTATGTTTATGAATCGGTTTTTCATGTTTTCCATTTTGTAACATGCCCTTCATATCCACAATAATTTCATGAGAAAGATGATCACCCTTCATGTAAGCACAGCAGAGGCCTCTGTAGTCGTCCCTTTGTGCTACCCTCATTCACCTTTGACTCACTCTAAAATCCTTGAATCCAAGATCACTGGTAAATAACATATACTTAAATTGGAATATCTTCTAGTAATTCAGTATAAGGAATGCATTATTATTTTGCTTGTGGAAGATCTAAAAGTTTTTCTTATGACAATGTCTGTTAGTTACTCTTTATAACTTTCTTTGTCTGGTTAGACTTAATGTGTGTTCTCTTCATTGATAAGTTACATAAAAACTCAAAGTGCATGATTCTTATTTAAACATGAAATCCCATGACTTTAGCTGTAATATTTGAAATTATACAAAATATGTGAGGTTCAGAATCATTGTATTTTTGGGCAACAGTAGGCTATCACTCTGCAAATATTATCAAGGTAGAATTTATAGATCTCAGATTCCATCAATCAAATATATCCTTCATGCTCATCACCATCATCATCATCTCCTTCATCTTCATCATCATCTTCAATTTCATCTTCCTCATTCATAATATCATCTTCCTTATCCTCATTATCAGTCCATTCATGGAAATCTCCACTTGCAAAATCCCCGGAGATCTCAAAATCGTTAGCTAAAAAAAGGTAAACATTATCTTTATTGATTTTGTGAGATAGTTACTGATAGAAATGTCTGATTAAATTAATAAATATTTAAAATACGCTTCTTAGATTTCTTACCAAATATAAGGACTAATCACTTCTCATTAGAATATTATTATAAGTTAAATCTCTATTATTTGTCAAAATGTCATACACTTATAAGAAGAATTATCATTGATATATGATATATAAGATTCCCTTTCCACTTCTATTTAGCTCAGCACAAATTTTATAAAAACCTATATTAGACTTTGAATCATATCAATAATTTAAAATATTACTACTAGTGTTGTGTGCAGAATAACTGTCTCACAACCATGTCTGCTTCCTGATTTTTGTAGCCTGGCAAAGAGGACTCTGCAGATGTGATTGAGTTAAGAATTGTTAAAGTGGAAGCTTATCCTGCCCATCTAAATGATCCCAAATCTTCCCATGTCGCCTTTAAATTGAAAAATGTTTCTCAGATAGTATCTTAAAGAAACATGACTACGCATTTTCAGAGGTGTGCAATGCACAAGCCTTTAAAGACAGATAAAAGGAGTCAGAGGCCAAAGAGTGTGAATGCCTCTTAAACAACAGGCGAATCCTTTCCAACACACGGTGACTCGAAAGGATGGAGTACAACTACTCTAGCAGGTCTTTCTAGATCCTCTTGATGCAACCTGACATCTCTTTCTCCCTCGTAGAGACCTGTGGGTTTGCACAGATCAATGCTGATTCTGCGGCGCCATGAGGACATCTAGAAGATGCCAAACAAAACGCATTTCAGACACCTGTAATCCTCATAGAAGGAACATGGTCCTGCTTGTAGCTTCAGTTTTACTCAGTGAGACCAACTTTAAACTCGGACACGCAAGAGCTGTAAATAGTAAATCTACATCATTCAAACCTCTACGTTTTGGTACTTATTACATCTATAGAACACTAATGTAGCTACACAATCATCTTACATATACTTCAAAAATCATCAACATTTTCAGTCACAACAATCCATTTGTTTTGTTTTCAACCCAACTCTCAACCCATAATATGTATGTTTATTTTTGCTATTTCTAATACTTTGATCTTCAAATCTTTTTGTAGTTAATTATAACTAATTGAATTGTATTGTAATACACTTCAATGTTTATAAAGCAAAAACAAAATATTGAGTTTGAATGCTGCATTGTGGAAAAATGCCTCCTGAAGCAAAATAAGATTCTACATTTTTTACCTACAAGTACATGTCTGGGTTGTTATATTCCTTTTTAGGCATATACATCAACTGTATGATCACAAAAAATAATTAAGTTTAATCATCTTTCAAAAAAGAGGTCACCTTTTCACATTCAAACATAAGTAAATATGGCCATGCACATGTAAGTGATGGATCTTTCTTTGCACAATTGATTTTTTTTGTTGGAGAGTGAGCCTCCCTATTTCCTGTGACACTCTCTTCAGAGGTATCCAGTTCAAGGCTGTCACATGGAGAGGGCACCCTTGTTAGGTTTAGTCAGTTAGAGTTGAATAGATTAGGAGAGGGGTGGGGAGGACATCTAAATTTCCTTTTCTACTAAAAGGAGGAAAATACATAATTATGCAATTCCATTTGCTATCTGTAATTTTTAATACACTGTAAAAATATGTTTGTTGTCACATTGTGGAGCTCTTCATATAGTATGTCCTCCCTAAATACTTGAACCAAGAAAAGATGATGTAAAATACTGTTTTGTGGTTAGGACTAAATAAGTGAACTCTCTCCTTACCACAGTCTGCAACACCATTTGTTCTAGATCCTGTGACTTCATTTCCATATCTATCAACACACCAGCACTGCCTGACTCTTCCCCGGCATTGTGTTGGTTTATAATATCCATCTTCATCACACAGTGGGATGTACAGTCCTGTGAAACACACATATACCTATATTACATATACACATTATACATTATGCATACACTTCTAAAGGCGCTCTCGTGGTGTCCAGGGTATGCACTGCGTGGTGATCTGCATGGTCCTTAGTTTGAAACCACAGCAGCTCCGTGGGAGAAAGACTGGGATTTCTATGCCAGTAAACAGTTACAACTTCAGAAACTCACAGGGGGTCATTATGAGTCAGCATTGATTCAATCACAGTGAGTTGGATTTTATACACACTACTTACATATATTATATGTGTGTGTACATACATACATACACATACGGGCATATAACTTTATATATATATGTAAGTAACACAACTCTCTTGGTTTACATTAATTGTGCATGAATGCCTCCAAGATAAACACACAAGGAGTGTCCACTATATCCAAAGCTGCAGAGTAGTGATACATGTAGAAAATAACATGTAAGGCCACTGCTGTCATGGAGATTGCCATTATGTGGGTCACTGCTTACATTTCATGAATGATTTTTCTTTGTTAAGCTAATTTCAATTTTTACCATTTCCTACTGTAAAAAGGTAGTGTTTTCAGAGTTATATATAGAATTAAAGTCATTCCAATACCAAGCCCATAATAGATCCTTTATACCACTTATCATGACAGGCCAGATTAATCAGTGTCTAGGCATTGCTCAATGTAATTCCACTTCCCTCAATTTAAATTCATATATTCTAAGGAAGCAGTTCTCATCGTGTGGGTCATGACCGCTTTGGGGGTCAAACGACCCTTTCATAGGGGTCACCCAATTCATAACAGTAGCAAATTACAGATATGAAGTAGTAACAAAAGTAATTTTCTGGTTGGGGGGGTCATCACAACATGAGGAACTATATTAAAGGGTTGCGGCATTAGGGAGGTTGAAAACCACTGTTCTAAGGTCTTCAGATGTTAAGCTACCCATTTTCTCTAAATTCACTATTATTTCATGTTTTTAAACATCTTTTATCTCAAAGATAAATCTCTCCCCTTCTCTTCTTCTTTGACTTGACTACCAGTTAAAAACATCTTTTTAAGCAAGACGTTTTCTGATTTATTTTTTCAAATATATATGTGTGTTGCACACACACACACACACACACACACACACACACACGGGTAAGTAAAATGTATTGCTACTAGGGTTCCAGTTCATATACTCACAGAGTTATTTAAATATGAATGAACACTAGAAAAATTTTATTTGTTCAAGTCAACCTTTCACAACTACATTGTGGTATCCTCTAATTTATAAATAGTTATTGATTGTTGTCTAGTATTGATTGTTGTATAATCAAGCTGTCTTAAACCCTACAGTAACAGGAATGAAGAATAGTTTTTCCTATTTATAACTAACTACAGTTACAAAAATTACATGTTTCAAAATATTTACTATTAAATGGCATGCCATGTGGTTAATCTGACCATATGATATACTTTATTCTAGTGTAGATTGAAAGTTCAAGAGACAGCTATTCAAAAATATGCTCCACCTGCAGGCATTATCTAGGACTGAACCGACAAATTAGAACATATGTTACCCTACTTCCGTATAACAACTGATCTATTTCAAGATATACATCATTACGTTTGCCTTCTCAAATGAGAAAAAAATTAGCTACTTAATACTCTATATTAATGATTTTATTTATTTAATTAAATAATAAAGTGTTCTGAAGCCAGCATTGTATTTCTGTGTGTAACTACAAATAATCAAAAGCTGGATTTAATGAATTTTTTCACTGATACACCTGGATGAGGTCAAAACTATATTTTCTGACAAATTTCTAGTCTTTCCTATTGCAAAAGACAGAACTGTGAAGGGTGGCAACAAAGAAACCCATGCCTGGATGCATTATTTCCCTTTTGAGCTATAATTCTCCATGCTTCTTATATCATAGTTGAGAAAACATACACATACAAGCTTTAATAAATAGCAATTGTTATACCAAAAAGTGCTTGATTATAAACCAGACTTTTTTTTACAGTAGGACTAAACTAAGAATGTTTAGGTAATATGAAAGCTATCATCTAAACAGACACTATTGTAGTTACAAAGAGAATGTCAAAATATAATAAGATTCAGCAACTTTACCAAATTGTCACTAAATACATAAAGACATCAATGAATACGAAAATCCTTGTATATATAGAATTGTAGATTAGATTGTGAAAACTAATGAAATTAAAGTCCACTGTTTAGCTAATGATTTCATAGTAAATTATTTCTTAGTTTTGATAAATATAATGTGGTGATTATTTGGAAGATGATAAAATGACAAAGTTTGGAGAAGGTGGAGGAAGGTATATGGAAATGTTATTTACATAATCTGTTGTTAACTTGAGACTGAGGGGTGAAGGGGTGGAGTTTAGCGTGGCAATCAGGTCTCAGCTTGATGACCTCATTTGGAGGCTCCAAGGAGATAAAGAACTTGTTGGAGGTGGGACACACACTCCATCCCTGTGAGACATCCTGGTTGACAAGACACATGGAGCTACCCTGTTGGAGCCAGAGCCCTGGAGCAGAACGAGCCATGTAGAGACCCCTGCCAGCACTGAGATGCTTCAATCGCCACTGGATCCACAAGACTTTCCACCCACTGGCCTGTGATCTTCCTGCATTTGGCATTATTGCATGGTTGCATGATTCTAAAGAGGAATTTCTGGACTAGTATTGGACATATGGGCTTATATTGTATTTATTGACTTAATCTGGACTGGGCTGGGATGTTTTCTTTATGTACAATTACTCTGAATATAAAACTGTTTCCTATACACATATTTATGAATTTTTTTCTCTAATCCACCCAGACTAACACAGTTACAGTATGTACTAATATTGCAGCTTTTCTATGGTGAATAAATTATTTGAAATATAAAAAGTACACAAGTTGTATATTAACAATTAACAAGAAGACAACATATTGTGTAATAATTGAGTAACTGTTGATAGTAAAATTTCCTAATATGTCAAATATTTAGGTGAAATGTAGAATATTCATCTAATTCTCTGCCTAACTACCAAACAACCAAAGCTACTGTCGTCCAATCAATTACAACACATGCAAGCCTGGAAGACATTGCAGAATTGTCCCAAAAAGTTTCCCAGATTGTAAATATTTATGGAAAAACAAAGTCTAATCAATTAGTTCAAAGTGCCCACTTTTCAGTTAGCCATGGAATGCTTAAACCACTTTGTCATCAGACTTATTTTTTTACTTAAATCAACACCAAACCTTTGAGTCAGTACTCAATAGAACTACCACATAAAGTTTACAAGACTGTAAATCTTTCCTCCACAGAGCAGGTGTTGTTTTGAAACTCTAATCTTTTGGTAGGCTTCCAATGCCTAACCTAGTATACCAGCAATGCATCATTTTTGACACTATCTTTGTTGCGGTTGTAGGCGGTCATGTATGATAGTCTGATTAATAGAAATCCTATGCACATAGAAGGGAACACTACCAAGTCTTGAGCCATTCTCACCTGTGCTGCTATGTGTGAGTCTACGTAGTAGGCATTTTACTGAGAGTCTTTCTTTTTTCAGCGGACTGTTTACTTTTCCCCACCTTTTAATCGTATATCAATAACTTTATTTACTAGCCTAAATATATTATACATTGTTTTATTAAATGTCTTTTAGACAATCATTTAAAATATATTCACTTTGACATAATTATAATTTTGTACTTTTTCTTCTTTAATTATGATAAAAATGACTAAATTTGGAGATATAAACAACACCCACCCCTTAGGTGGGTTAGTGCCCTGTTCTCCAGGCTACCCATGTTCCCTGCCCCCTCCCGACTTTTTAGTTGGCTACCATATGTATCTCTGGATTTAGCCCCTCCCATACTACCTGGACCTCGTCCCAGGAAGGTATGTATACAGTAGCTTTTCCCTATGCCTCTTTTGCATTTTGAAGCTTACCTCAGTGGACTCATGTTGTATTTGTCCTTTTTGTGTTTCCTCCAGTTTTTCCCATGTGTTCATCACTGCTTTTTAGGGATGTGTAGTACTCCATTGTACGTATGTACCACAGTTTTTTAATCAATTCATCTGTTGACGGAAATTTGTTTCCAACTCCTTACAATTGTGAACCGCTCTGAGATATATTTCCCCAGAGAAAGAGGGACCGGACTTCAACCCAGTGCTTTAAGACATGAATGTAACATACTGCCTTGAAGCAGGGAACCAAAAGAGAGGTCTGAGGGGCCAGCCCCAATCCCAACTATGTGGACAGTCTCCCCTCTCCGAGAAGCATTCACTTCAGAGGGATAGCTCAGGGAGAGGGATAAGCCTGATCAGAGAATACAGGAGCAAATCAAGGGGGAGGAAGAGAGAGTGGAGCACAACCTGGCCTACCAAGCCCTGAGGAGGATATCCTCTTCAAAGCAGCCAATGCACAGAAAGGACCATAGGACCAGCCCTACCATGAGACATGACGTCCCTCACTGACCCATAGCGCTGTGGGGAACAACACTGGAGACAGTGCGGGAATTGTGCCTAGGCAAAACACTAAAGATCTGCAACAGAACAGCAAGGGGAACAGAGCAATGAAATCCCCTGGGAATACCAAAAATTGACTGGGGCCAGGGTGTGGCACCCCATCAGACTCAACCAGAAAAAACTTGTAAAGATCAACAAACAGACCTTGAACTATTTATAGGCTTTTCTTTTTGTTGTTGTTGTTGTTTTTTCTTTTGTTGCTTTGTTTTGTTCTGTCTTGTTTTTGTGCATATTATTATCTCTGCATAAGATAAGATAGGTGGGACAAACAATCCGGGGGAGAAAACAACAGGACTGACAGTTTTGGGGGGACATGGGAGAGTGGGAGGAGGGGAAAAGAAGTGGGTGTTAACAAACCCAGGAACAAGAGAACAATA